GATGTGTTCAAAGGAGAAGTTAGACGAGCTGAGTTACCTGAAGGATTCGAGGAGAGAACACGAGGAGTGGGAATGGTGGTGAGAGATTGGGCTCCACAACCAGAAATTCTGGCTCATCCATCTACTGGTGGATTTATGAGTCATTGTGGATGGAATTCTTGCATAGAAAGTATTACAATGGGAGTGCCAATAGCGGCCTGGCCAATGCACTCCGACCAGCCTAGAAACGCCATGTTCATAACAGATATATTGCAGATCGGTATTCTTGTAAGGGAATGGACACAGCACGAGGAACTAGTGAAAGCATCGATGATTGAGAATGTTGTGAGAAGACTGATGGCATCAGACGAAGGAATTGAGATAAGGAAGAAGGCAGAAGAAGTAGCTGATGCTGTTAGGATGTCAACTGAGGCAGGTGGGGTGTCTCGAAAGGAATTGGATTCATTCATTGCCCACATCACTAGATAAAGCAATTTTCACCGTAACATGGTCTCCTAGTATATTGCTGCTGTTTTTTATTTTGTTTTCCCGTTACATAATTTGCTGTAAGAAGCAATTAGCAGAAAATATATGTAAAAGTAAAAAACCGTGCTTGATCGGTCCAATAAATCTGTATTATATGTTTCTTTCGGAGCAACAACTTCAATATCAGACGAAGAAGCTAGGGATATTGCAATGGAGCTTGAAAAATGCAAGAAAATGTTCATTTGGGTTCTTAGAGATGCTGAGAGTTTAGAAAAATTGAACTGCCACAAGGGTTGAAAGAAAGAGTGGATTGTGTAGCGAATTAGACTATTATCTTACTTTGAGAGTAATAAAAAAATAAATCAACTACAGTCGTCAATGCAGGTTTTCATGAATTTCTCGCACCTCACACCAAAAGTGACACCCTAAAATCCCTTACATATGCAGGAATGTTAGAATGGTCAAAAATATGTACGCAATACCCAATATACTCCAAATTCAAAGTAAATTTAAATTTGCCTAGGAGCTACCAGTCTATATACGTTGAATCCGTGATTACAATATTTTCAGGTTCCATAGGGTCCAATAGAAACAATGATTATCGTGACGTAAGAGCAGGATCATCAACTAGAAGTTCTTAGCTGAAAATCAGTAGGTGGAGCTAATGAGTCATTGTGGAGAATAAATCAAAGAAAATAGAGTGTACATTAAGACTTACACTCCTCTCACAATGGAGTGTGGGTCTGCGATTTTTTAAATTGCGGACCCTCCACCATTGTGAGAGGAGTGTAATGCATAATGTACATCCAAAGAGCGTACATCAAGCATCTCTCAAGAAAATATTGCAATGGTACCAATAGCAACCAGGCCAGTGCATTCTAGCTAACCACTTGTGATAATTTTGTTCTTGTGATATAATTTATCTTATATTTGAATGTTTTTTTCTTGTATTCACTCACCCCATATTTAAAGCATTGAATCTGATGATTATAAGCATGTTCATATGTGCTTCAAAGTTAATTTAAGACTTACATTCTAGAAAAATAAGTACGATCGAGAAAGAAATAACTTTCAAAATCATATTTGACAAAATAAGTAACTACAACCACACATGTTGCAGGTCACATTGTAAAATGAGTTCTCAAGTAGAATTAGAGTTTCCCGTCTATATATACACACATATATAGACTCCCCTTAAAAAAGGATTACCTTAGTGAAAAATAAGCTTTTAGGTGTCAAAGGGACATCAAAACCATTATAATAAATCGTTCGAACAAATTCCAAAATTGCTCGTCCATTACTATCTGCTTTGAAAGAAAAAAGAATTGTAGTAATCCTGTATCGTATCTGTGTGTCTCCTCCTCGCCATAAGAACTGATGATGGCTTGATCCAGATCCAACCCCTCATTATTACTTTCTTTCATTTAGGATTTAGGACTTGAGAGATTCTTGAGATCCCTTTCCTTCGCATACCAGTCTGGTATTATTTTTGCAGCATGCGGATACAGATCCTTGTATGCATTCTTGATAGTCCCTTCTGCAACTGTGGTAGCAATTGAAATATCTGCATGCACGCCGTTTCGATCAAGTACGCATGCACATGACTTAAGAAAAAGAAAATTATCCTAAAAATTCACTGCAAACACCAAAGAACACAGATGGTGAATTCTCAAACCTCGCAGGGCTTTCTTTGAATCTGACAGTTGGGTTATCATGAAAATAATTGCTGCAGCAATGGATATCGGGCTCCTCCTGCAAGAAAACAATAACAAGAAATGTGAACACAAGGCAAACCACAACCTGCAACAATAATGAGACAGTAAAGAAATGTATTTCCTGGATTCTATTGACGAAAAAACCACTCTTTAAAAGTGAAATTTGCCTCTGTTTTCCAGGTCTATTTATAATCCGGACACCAGACCGGTAAAGCATATGTTCTGAATTATCAACAACTAGGTGTTTCACGTGCAAATGTGGATGATGATTGCGATCACAATTAGAATATCTACGAGTATGCTTCAGATGCAGAATAATTTCAACTTCACATTGAATAATCATCAGCAAAACGAAAATTTCTCACACACGGTTGAAAAAAAAGAATTTTTGAACCCCAAAAAAAAAAAACTTCTAAAAAATCTCAAACATGTTTGGTAAAACAGTTGCTAAAGACCAATTCACCTTGTCCGAGTAGGTTAAGGATTGTTGTTTCCACAAATGAGATCAAGGGCTCAAGAATTGGTATCTCCCTCCCCCCTACTCCCCCACCTCAGAGAACTAACATGCTGCAGAAAAATAAGACCGCTTCTAGAACAACGCAAACCTTTTATTCTTCCTTTACTTTGAGTACACTAGACACTTCATTCCCTTTTTCTAAGACAAACGACCACACACCCAGATCACTCTGGCCTCTCCGATATACATTTTCAGCCTCATTAACTCACTTTATTTTTACAATATACAACCTTCCAGATTCAATCATTTTCGCCATGCTAGAAACTTTCAACATAAACACCTGTGTCAAATATTTTCAAGCACAGAAACTGTGAAATTTATATTTCATCAATTAATGCGTGCCAAACAATGAGGCAACGTGTAAGCACTATTAAATGATAGAATGTTATGAAAAACGAAGTTTCAATCAAACCAACGTGAGATGGCAGATAATATATCACAGTACCTTATATCAAAGTCCCCTGACTTCTTGACAGTTTCTTGAACAGCTTTGATTTCTTCATGGCTCATACCAAGATTAGAACAAAAACGTCTCTGATAAAAAAGTAATAATAGATGAATGAGATTAATTAAGTGATAGTGAAGACTCACAACTATATGCAGATCTAGGAGCGACTTGGAAGTGATATGAAAGATGTAAAAAAGCATCTTTTTTCAAGCCATGTTATAATCACAACTAACTCACCAGATAATCCCCAGCATGTATGGTACCCATTTCCATAGATTCACCCATCTCAACCTTCAATTGTTTAACAATAAATTCTTTCGCTCGGCCAATTTCTTTCTTTGTTGCTCCATTTGCAATAGAGCAAATTTCTATTTGATAACCACAGGTCAAGAGGGTTCAAAATGAGGATAAGATTGATCCAAAAAATAACTATATGTGCAAATGATTATTGGTAGCACCTTTTACAGTGCGGGGTTTGCCTTCTTGTCGGCAAGCAATGTAAATGCAGGCAGCCACTATAGCATCCAAATTTCTCCCTCTTGTACACTTCTGATCCTCCAACCTTTTATATATTTCACTTGCCCGGTCCTTCAAAATAGGTTAGCATCGTATGTGAGATTTGGAAATATGACAAAATGCGAGACATGTTAACTTGTTAAATTTTAAAAATAGTCACTTCTAAATTCTAAACAGAGTGACAGCAGCAGCAAATTCACTTCATTATATTAACATTAAATAAAGGTTTCTGCTTTAATTGCGTGTTATGAATAGAAGAGAGATTGATGATATAAATACTTGAATCTTTTGTTAACATGATAACTTTGTCCCAGTAGGAAAAAAAATAGTGGCATGATAAATGTAGGAGGTTTTAGTAAGGCACCAAGTCTGGTTGAATGTGTTAAGATAATAGTAGGTTTCAAATTCAAGGAAATAAGTAATATAATGGTGGCATAGCTACACCTGATATCAAAACCCATACAGAATATATGACACCCCCTGTAAGCCGTCTCCATGTGATAACTAAATTTCTTTCGGAACACAAAAAAGGAAACAGGGGAGGGGGGGAAATGAAAGAACCTACAGTATGAGTGTGAGTAGAAAATGTAAACTAGGCACATTGAGAAACATTTGTATTCTAGTAACATTTGTTTCTTGAGAAACAAGAAACAAATGTTACTAGAATACATTGGATTATATGTCTCATCACACATTTTTTGTCAAAAGACAGATGAGTAACAGGCATACCTTAATAGTTGAAACAAGACTCAACCTGGAAAGGAGGGGAGAAAACATTAGCTATGATCATAGATATTCCTATCAATCATTCTTAAAAGAAGAAAAGGAAACTGCAAATAGATTAGCTATTACACAAACACTGGGCAATGGTTTGCCTCTTTTCAAACGTGACACCACCCAAAAAATTCAAGTTGATCGCGTAAAAATCTACCTATTTTTGTTCAATTTAATCTAAACAGAATCATTCTGATTGCCGATGCATTTTTGCCCGAAAAACGAACATCATAAATAAAAATCATAAACAGTTGAACATCATCCGCTCTTGATAGCTATGATGAGTTCAGTCTCCAAAGAAAAATGACAGTATGACAAATAACAAAATGACAAAACAAACTATACAAGCCCGCGACATTCAAAACATTATATAACATTATGATCACTAATGTCTTGGTCAAATACACATAACCAATTTGAAACTTAACAAGAACTGAAATTCTAGCTTGACAAGTATAATTAGCAAACGCAATCTCTGCTAAACCCATGAATTCATATTCACAATCCATATGAAGAATAAAAACATGCATTTCAAACAAGAAATTAATTACTCTAAAAAATTTCATCTTTTTTGTTGCATCATTTATTAATCAGGCTAATACAATTCCAATCAATGGCACAGCTCTACGGCTCTACCACCCTAAATTTCAATCAGAATCATCAAATCATTCAAATTTGTCATCTTTTTTCTGGACCTCAAGATTTTAGCAACCACAAGTTGAATCTTTTCTTCTTTATCCTAGTTTTGTGATGAATTTTTAGATAAATTTCTTGAAAACCCATCAGTACCATTCCAAAGGTTTTGAGTTAAACCCCACACAACCTGCAAAAATGCAAACCTAATAATCAATATCAAATACAGACCTATCAGCCATATTCGAAATGGCCTTAAAGGCCAAGACAATGGCCCGCTCAGGATCGCCACCACGATTCTGCAACCGAGAGAGGGATCCATCCCCATTAGACCCATTAGGTCCTCGCGAAATCACGGTCGATAGAGCGGCATCAGCAAGGAGCGGGTTTACAGGTCCTC